TCTTGTGATTTTTGTACCTACCTTGATGTTATTTGACTCGGGTGCGAGTCGATCCTTCGTGTCATTAGCATTTAGTCACCACATCAGTATCCGATGTGAGGCGTTGAGTTAACCTGTGAGAGATTCTATAGTTGATGATCATGCGGTGTTTTCTACTGATGTGATCTGGGGATGTGTGCTCGAGATTTTTGGTGTTAAGTTTCTGATAGATCTAGTGCCGATCATGATGGGTGATGTCTATGTGATAGTGGGTATTGACTGGTTGAGTTGGTTCAGAGCTGTGATCGACTGCGAGTGTCAGATGGTAACCATACCGGACCCTAGTGGGGAGTGATTACATTGTATGGCGATGGTACCAGATCTGGGTTAGCTTTCTGCTTGGTTGCCAGAGAAATACATAGTCTAAAGCAGGTGTGTAGGGGCTTTTAGCGTTTGTGATGGATACGTGGGTTACTACCAAGAGACCGAGTTCTATCGCTGAGGTTCTAATAGTGGTTGAGTTTTCAGATGTTTTTCGCGAGGAGTTACTGGGTGTGGTTCCCAAGAGGAAAGTGGAGTTCCGGATTGATTTGGTTCCAAGAGCGGCACCTATCGACAAGGCACCTTATCGCCTTGCACCACCAGAGATGCAAGATTTGTACTCAGAGCTTTAGGAGCTGCTAGGGAAGGAATTTATTAGACCGTGTAGCTCGCCGTAGGGAGCACCTATTCTTTTTGTTAAAAAAATGATGGTTCACACCAGATGTGCATTGATTACTGGGAGTTGAGCAAGCTGACGGTCAAGAACCGTTATCTACTTTGTAGGGGGCGTCTTGGTTTTCCAAGATCAATTTGCGGTCTGGGTATCATTAGATGAGAATCTGTGAGTAGGATATGCAGAAGATGACCTTTAGGACTCGTTATGGGCACTACGAGTTTGTAGTGATGCATTTCGGGCTCACCAACGGACCGACAATGTTCATGGACATCATCAAAACCGGGTGTCAGGCCTATGTTGGATTGATCGATGATCGTGTTCATCGACAATATCTTAGTGTATTCGTGATCCAGAGAGCAGCACCAGGAGCATCTGAGAGATTCTTGGAGTTTTGAGGTCGGAGAGGCTTTATGCCAAATTCTCCAAGTGTGATTTCTGGTTACGAGAGGTTCATTTCTTGGGGCACCTCGTTAACTAGAATGGGATATTGGTCGACCTGGATAAGATCGAGGCGGTGATGAGATGGGAGGGGCTGAGATCCCTTACCGAGATCAGGAGTTTTCTAGGTTTGACCGGCTACTATCAGAGATTTATCAGAGATTTCTCCAAGATTGACATCCCTCTCACCAGGTTGACCCGGAAGGGTGTTTCTTTTATTTGGGGTCCCGAGCAGCAGGCCTCATTTGTGACTCTTCGCCAGAGATTGTGCAAAGCCCCGGTGTTAGCCCTCCCCGAGGGAGTAAAGGACTTTGTGGTTTACTGTGATGCATGTATATTAAGGATTGGTGTGGTGCTGATGTAGAGATATACATCGAGGCAGTTGAAGCCTCATGAGATGAGATATCCCACCTGCGATCTAGAGCTGGGGTCGGTGGTGTTCGCCCTCAAGATTTGGTGTCACTATTTGTACGGGGTTCGGTGTACCACATACACGGACCATAAGAGTCTGAAGTATCTCATGGATCAGCCCAACCTGAATATGAGACAGAGGGGGTGGTTGGATGTAGTGAAAGACTATAACTGCAAGATCTTGTATCATTAGGGCAAGGCTAAGATACCCGATGCCCTGAGCCATAATGCAGCAAGTGCTCTGATCCGATACATGTGTATGAGGATGACGGTGATCAATCTAGTCTTAGATACCATTCGAGAAGCACATGTGGAGGCTGTGAAAATGGAGAACCGCAAGAGGGATCGGGTGATTGGGCAGTTTTCTGAGTTGATGATGGATAGTCAAGGGCTTATGACTTCTTGAGGGCGGATTTGAGTGCCCTATACGGGCGGAGCTCAACGTATATTGATAGAGGAGGCGCATGGATCGAGATTCTCGATCCATACAGGTGCCACTAAGATGTATTTGGACCTGATAAGAGATTATTGGCGACCCTGTATGAAGAGGGATGTGGCATGGGTAGTTGAGAGGTACTTGACGTGCCGCTGGGTTAAGGTATAGCACTAGCGACCACATGGTCCATTACAACCTTTAGAGATTCCCCAATAGAAGTGGGAACAAATTTCAATGGAATTTATCTCCAAGTTACTGAGGACTGCGCATGGGGTTGACACGATATGGGTGATTGTGGACCGGATCACGAAGAGTGCTCACTTCCTTGTTATTAGTGAGAGCTATTCTACAGAGAGACTGGACGAGATTTATGTGAGATTGAGACATGCGTTTTACTTCCATATTTTGGAAGAAATTTCATGAGGAGTTGGGCATGCGTTTTCATTTCAGTGCCACATACCACCCATAGACGAACGGACAGAGCGAGCGGACAATTCAGATGCTTGAGGACATGTTGTGTACATGTGTTATGGGCTTCGGAGGAAGTTGGGACACTTATTTACCCCTTTATGAGTTTTCTTACAACAACAACCATCATTCGAGTATTGGTATGCCTCCCTTTGAGCTTCTATGCGGGAGGAGGTGTCGGACTCCCATTTATTGGGGAGAAGTGTGGCAGAGGTTGATGGGTGGCACTGAGATAATGCTGAAGATGACTGAGCAGATTCAACAGGTTAGATAGAGGTTACTGATGGCCC